GGGTGCCTCATGGGCCAAAAGGATTTGACACGGAGCCATTTAATGCTGCACTCAGCCCCGAGAAAGAGCACTCAGGATCCCATCACCAGCCCCAACCTGAGTGCTGGAATGGCTGCTTTTTGTCACCTACTCCCTTTTGAGGCCACTGCAGGAATGCTGCYCTTCCACTAGACTTGACCCTTCATCCCTGCTCTACTGTGGCTTGCAACAGCTGCCCCTCCCTGCCTGGAGTGTTTATTTGCACAGGAAAGACCTTCAAAATTTCACTTATGTTAGTTTTAGGGCAAGCTGGCCCTAAAGGCAAAGTTCAAGTGTAGCCCTGCAAAGGCCCCAATGTGGAAGTTGAAAAGGCAGCATGTGAACAAGTGAATGGGGAAGCAGCAGAGAGGGAAGAGCTCCTGATAGTCATCACTCTGTTTTTAGGTTCAGACAAAATTCCCTTGATAACAAGAGAGAACAGAAAAATCAGCACCCAAAAATATGGGAAAAAAGAATGGAACACATTACCTAAAAGGAATACTCTATTTAGAGAAAATACATTTTCCTTTTTAAATGAGTCTCTTTCAAAAATTTAAGGTTGGCAACATTTCCTTTAAGATTATACACAAAAGATAATACAATAATATAATAAGAACAGGTATATTTTTTATAGAAAGCATCATCAATAACACACTTGTCATAAATCAATTTTACCTGAATTCCCTTTAGAGATGAAGCACCCATGTAAAGAAACACTCCATAAAGTACTGGCATAGGAATAAACTGCACAAACAAGGAGAGAAAGGGAAGAGCATATTAAATACTACTTAACAATTTTAAATGCTTCTAGAAAGACATTCAAAACAGTTGAAATACAAAGTGCCATATGCCTGCATTAATCAGACAAGTTGTAAATTCAGAGTCACTCAATTATAAATTAATAATGCTTCTCAGAGTATAAAGCAAAAGAAGAATCTGGCTCTCAAGTTTTATTTTCCTCTCATGGCCAATTATTACAATTTACTTTATTCCTTATTAATAAAATTAACAGAACTACACAAAAACATGGAAGTCTTAATTTATACTTAAAATTTTAAATTAAAAGACTGCTCAGAAAAATGTTCAAGAGACACAAAATACTTCTAAATGCTAAAAGAAATCTTTTGTGCTGTAAGGATTAAAAATAGGTGAATTATTCTGTGGAATGATTTTGTAAGAAACTATTTTAAATATTCAGGTTCTCAGCATACACTGCATAGRTAAAAGAGTATATCCATAGATAAGTATCCGTTAGAAATATTAAATACACAAAATGCATGTTCTGTGTGTATTCAAAGGGAAGACTTTATGATATAATAAAATATTTAATAAAATACTGCTGGGAAGTATGAGTTCTAAGGGTTTAGTGCCTTCACTGTAATAAAATGCAGATCTAAATTCTGGTTTTACTAAAGCCAGGGCTAAATCTCTCACAGATTTCACAATGGCCAGATAATTCATTAAAAAGCATTAAGTGTATGTATGGAATTACATATCCATGTAAATAGACACTTATTTTCTGGACAATGTGCAGGATGCATGAGATAATTTTCATGTTAATTTCCAAGAAACAAACCATACAACTTCTCTCACAACTGTGAAAACATTTTTAAATTACTAAGAAATCACAAAATGTTTTTAAATTTTCTAAATAAATTTTAAATTTATATAGCGAGTCTGTTTCATGATAATTTGCCACGGAGCCAAGTATTGACAAAGTGTTAATCTTCATCCACYACAGCTCAGTGGCAGAATTCCCTTTGACTTCAGTCAGGCCAGATTTTCATTGCAACGTTTTTGGTTGACAAAATGCTAGAAGTCCCCAGGCACTCCTAGACTCCTATTGTGTAACATGTTAGTTAGTAATGTGCCTGGAAAAAGAATTCACTCARTATACAGTAACAACAGTGAACTGTTCAGTGCAGTACCTCACTTTCCCAAATTACCTTTAGAATACTYGTCAAAAAGACAGATGAGCCCATAAGGATAAAAATCATGAGCCCTGTGACTCTTTGCTCCCGGATTCCAAGAAATTTCGGCTGCTCCCCTGGAGCTGAGCACTCTGATTCCAGTTTTAAGCTGTTCACATGGGATATAGAGAGGACAGTGGCTGCAACAAACCATGGCAATCCCATAATAGAGCACACACCAAGCATCACTGCCACCATGAGGAGGTCGAGGTGGTATCCACATCCTTTCTGTTAAAAAAAGCAATRGTGGAAAGAAGATATAAAATGACATGTGAATTAAGGAGAATCCTTCTAGCAGGCATTCCTAACAAACAGCTAGAACAACTAAAAATTTGTGACTTGAAGGAAAAAAAGAGCTTCCTTCTATGTGTTATCCAGGGTGGATATCYCACTCAGTGCTCAGTGCCACTGGACTCTCCTGTTCCGAGTTAAGTGTATCACAAATCCACTCTACAGCGAGCACTGAACAGCTTTCCTGTTTAAAAATCTGAAAAATCCATACATTTTCTGTTTCAACTAARTCTCTTCTGTGGATAACAGTGAGCAGAACATCCAGCTGCGCTGCCAACTTTCCACTGCACTAATCTTAGTAGAYCCTGCACCCATCCTTACACAGGAGGTGCAAAAGCTTGTATTTTTATTGGTCCCTACATAAAAATCTGTAGCAAAATCAGTTTATGCTGGAAAGGGCCATAAAACCACACTGATCCTTTTAAAGCCTTTTAATATGGTAAGCACATGATAGCAATACATTTTCACTAACGTACTTTCAATCTTAGATAAGAGCAKATAGCCAGAAAATAAGATACATGAAATTAAAATATAAAATGAGGTAGTGGTTTATTGTTTTCCTTACTCAAACATAACATCATAATATCCATATGAAAAGTCAGTCCAAAACCTCTGCGTTTGGATCACCTCTRTAGTAGTCAAATACTACATGAATTTACCAACACGTGGACAGTGCTTTGCTTTTGTAGTAGTTGATAAAACCCTTGGTTTGAATTTCAGATAAATTYTAAAACCTGCAATTACAACCTTCATATGAAAAAGAGAAATGACCAATGCATTAAACTTGGTTCTATAGATATCTGCTACCATAGCTGAGTGGGATATTTCATTCCAATTTTACCAAGTACCTCCTCACAGCTGCCAGCAGCAGCTCAAGMTATTTTCCTTTAAAAAGTCAGGTAGCTCACCATCTCCACGAAATTTTACAATATGGCAACAAATCCAGTGTCATGGTCTGGTGAAACAGTGATGTTCATGCAAACAATGTGAATATGTTGAACCATAATTTTGCCTGTAAACCCATGCAAATGCCTTTTGACATAAAAAAAGTAACTAAACTAAACTTGGAAGGGTTTGCTACTGAGACTGCCAAAAGCTGAAATGTGCACTATCCAGAATTTGCTATGGGAAGTATAAAAAAAGAGGGGAAAACGAGTTGGAAGCAAACAAATCATTTCTTTATGAAGACAACTTTTACTTCTAAAATGGGAAGCGTCTGGGTTTATGAAAATGTAAGCCACATATCAAAATGAAAATGCCATCTTATTTGCTTACATTATTTAAAAAGGGGGAAAAGTAAAGAAAATGAAGAGAATCAACTCAAGCAACCTTCCCTCACTCCCCAAAAGTGCTTATGAGCCTTATCTCCAAGGCACATCTTGACAAACTCAGAGATGTGTCAAACACAGATATTAGTTACAGGCACAATGCACTCAAAGAAAGACTTTAATTCTAAATCCTAACAGAGACACCTTTTTTTACCTTCTGACACATTTATGAGGAATGTATCTGCTAATGCATACAGAATCCGAGAGCATTTCCTCACATTCATACATGATCTGAGGAACCTGACATATGGGAAGAAAAGGAAGCATAGCAACAGGTGATGCTACACCAGACCCCAGCAAAACTAAAACGCAGCAAGACAAGGGGGCAGCCAGGAGGACCATCTGACTCCCAGATGCCAGTGCTGAAAAAACACATTCCAAAGCTTGGCAGCAAATTCCTGCATCTGTCAAGTTAACCACATGCAATGCTATGGATTGACATGAAGAGCCAGGCTGACAAAGAGGGCAAAAAAAGAACATATCAAATGTCACAATCATCCAAGAAGAGGCAATGCAAAGTGAAGGTTGCAAATGCATTTGCTAAAGCAACTTGGGATTGGATTGCTGCTTATTAAAAGTATGTCAAAAAAAAGCCTAAGCTTGCTGCATATACATGTACAGAAACCTGCTGCTAGATTTTGCCCAACAGTTTTTCAGAGGGGTGATGTCCCTTTTTCTCTCTCCATCTGTAGGCAACTAAAGTGTTAGAGAACAGAGCAGGAAGTTGTCCTATGTTGTTTTAAGAACCCATTGTGCCTCTAAGGCTCAGTTTTATTCTTCTCCCTCCTTTAAGACAGGAAGGGCATTAAAAAAATAAGGATGTGTAGAACCACAGAGAAAGATGAAGAGAGGGAAAGAAATGTTTCAAAATAACCTCTGAGTAGTTTTTTAAAATCCAGTCCAGTACAACAACGGTGTCAATTCAATATTATGGTACTTAAGAATATTAATTTGAAGAGTGGGTTTTTTTTTCAATTTATTTTAAAAATATGCTTTCCAATAAAGCATAGAAGATAGCACTTTCTTAATTCAGAATCYGTATTCCAAATTACATTCATAAAGTCTTCTGTAAGGCAGTAGATCACTGACACAGTGCACAGGTACGACACAGACCAACAAAGAAAAAATATCATTAAAATTTAAAGGGATTCTATATAATATACAGCAAGCTAGCATACTAAAGCAGATGGATGCACATTACATAACCTGAAGCAGAAAACAACAATGAAAGTATAAATTTTGACTGGATACCTTTAGTTTGTGTTCTTTTCTATTGATAATGACAGCTGTGATCTGCTGGTCCATAAAGATAAGGATAGTRCAAAGCAGGGCTGGAATTACAGCAGCTATCACTGTCCACCATGGATTAGGCCCCAAAGGAGTAATAAACCAGCCACGATCATCTCTGGTGGGCTATAAAAACAGTCAGAACTGTAAGGATTATTTACATTTCAATTTCACAAGAATACATACAATACATTACTTGGATATGATTTCCTGTAAAACCAACCCATATAAGAGCACTAAAAAAATGCTTAACTTCCTATGAGGCTAAAATAAGAAATTACATATAATAAATTTTTCTGGAATAYTGCAGACTTGACTGCACTTGATACAGTAAATGCAGAATTTGGAAGAAGCCCCAGAACATTACAGTAGTCTAGGATTTGGGTGATTTGAGCCCTGCTAATCTCTGCAGAAATGACATTAGGAAGCATGAAGGGGCCTGATGGGAGAGGCTCGCGTAAACGATTCATAAATCAGAGGGGTTGCATAATACCTTGTGAACACAAAGATTTTAAAATAATATCACTCTTCCAGATGATAATAAAAAATTATAAACCCATTACAGTGGATTACTTCGCAAAATAATAGAGCAGTGCAATTTATCAAGAACTTACCTTAAAAGCATTTGGAACCTGAAGTTTTGGTGATGGAATTCCAATGGCATAGTCAATTAAAACCATGGACAAAATAGTGAGAAAGACAGCAAAATCGCTGACAACAGATCGTACCTGTGATTAGTGAGAGAAATTACAGTTTTAACTAAAACATTCATGTATGATTTAAGATTTTTTTTTTTCACTGTTTTAAGAGATTTTTTGCTCACAGCTAAAACCGTGCCTATTCTGATACAAGTTTCTAATGGAGGAAAGGCACACTGCACTTCAGCAGCAGTTAAGGAATTTGCAATGCAGATGGAATTCCTGCTTACACACAACCAAGGACAGAACTGAAACAATGGCACACACCTTTGTGGGGAAGTATCKGCTGGTTTTGAACTGCTTCAGTGTGGATGAGAGAGTCACTGTAGAAAAGAACAGGATGACAGACCAGAAGAGGACATCTGGAACRTAGGGGCCGTGATGGCCACAGGCTCGTCCAACAAACTCACCATGAAACTTTTTACATTCCTGTTGGGGAGAGCAAAATAGTATTGTTCTAAAAAATAGTACATTAATATTTTCTTTCCAATTTATTTTCTAAATTGGAAGCAGATTGTATTACTAGAAATGGTAAGTATATATCTAATATTTAGATATTTATACTTTCAAAAAGTAAAGGTCACTATGTTTGCATTTAGTCTGCATGGAAAATTCTCAAAGGAATCTCTTTTTAACCACATTAAATGATGAAATCACTGAGACACATCATAAATAAWGTCATTAATATAAAAACAGTTTTATTTCAAACTCAGCATGCACACTGGGTTACTTTCTGTGTACAGAACAGATTTACACTTACTAACGCTCTCCAGGTGTGGTAAGCAAAGCTCAAAAGCCACCAAGAAAAGGTCTGTTCCCGGTGCATTCTCAAGAACTGCTTTTTTGTTTTAACTTCACAGGCCCGGCAATTGAAAAAGCTCTTTAGGGTGTGTGGCATTGGCCTAAGAGGAGCCAAATACATTTAATACCACACGGGGGCAGCACATCCCACAAATTGTCTTTCTCTTAAAAAAAAATCTGATAAAATGCTGAAAACCCCAAAATCGGTACCATCAATTATATTTAATATAGTTTAAGATGAATATGCAGATACAGTAAAAGCATTTCAGTACTTTTCCACTACCATCCTTAGTTGTCTAAAATCATAAAGAATAGCTCCAGAAGGATGAGCTACAAGCTCTGGAGTCAAAATCCTTTCCTTCATCCCAATCCCTCCATACTTATTAAGAAAAATGAAATTCAKCACCCAGAATTCCAGGAAAAATTCYARGAAGAATTCCRGAATYCAGGAAGGGATTCCAGGAAGAAACATCCTGGCAGATCAGGATCTTTTAGTATTAGTATTATTTATTAAATTAAGTGTGTCACTGGCTCATCAGACTCACTGCACAATAACATGTTGTGGGAAACTTTAACTTTGAACAAAGATTGCCTTGGAAAAAAATGCAATTTCTATTTGATGACTGTGAGACAAAGTTTTTGATACTGGTATAGCAGTAAACTTGGGATGGAGGTCATCATATGCCTCCTGAAGAGGATTTTGCCACCATCAAAATCCTCTTCACACTTGGTTCAAAATCCTCTTTATACTTGGTCCAAAATCCTTTGGTGACACTTGGTTTGTCTTGATAGCAAAAAATAATTGTTGGATTTTAAGAATGAGAATCCAGATCTTCAGAAACATGAAACATTTTAAGTAGACACAAGAAATTCATGAAGATATAAGCAGTAAAAGAGACATAATGGGGTGAGCTGACCAAATATTTACAGACAGCAATGTCGAATCTCTTACTGCAGTTCTCTAGAACAGAAGTTTCTTGATTATGCTTGCAAGAAATAAAAATATGGAARTRCAAGTAAATTCAGTTATTTCTTTGGCAACTATAGGTACTTAGGGGAAAAGTTGGTCAGTTATCCTGCTACCTATGTAAACTCAAGTTTTGGTAATAAGCTTTCACAGAAGTTTTTAAGGGTTTTATATAATGCAGCCAGTCTTTTACATTTATAGTTAAAACAAAATCTGTTATTTTAAATCTCCTCAGCTGCAAATGTACTCTGAAAAACACTGTCAGAGATCTGAGAAAGTGAGAGGAGGAGTCTGCCCCTGCACAGATGCTCTTAGAGTGTGCTGCAATTTTGAGAATATTCATTCTGGACTGCTGGAATCCCTCAGGCCAGCAGTTCTCAACTTTCTTTCTGCTGTTGCCACACCAACAGAGTTGAGGAGCAGTCCCTGCTCAGAGCAGCCATGGAAGACAGCTCTTACTTAACACGAGCTCCTCTGCATTTTTGCCTTTGAAAAAAAAAAGAACAGTAACTTCTGGAGACAGTCCACTGGAGTGGCTTTTAGGTGTTCAATTTCATCATGCCTACAGCTTGGTTAATTCAGTTATATCTCTTCAGTCTGGTATCTTTTGCATTCAATTCTCCTTGACTGTGTAATGAAATTATCCATTTGCAAGGAAAAGTGGTGGCCCAATCTCACCATGACACTTTAATCAAGTTGTAAATGTCACTTTGAAGAAGGCAAACTTGAATTATATAAATCCTTAAAACATAGGAAAGTGTACTGTTTAGAAACTAGTTACACATTCATGCAAGCCCCACTAAACTGTAGCTTTATCCCCTTCTTCTCCTGGGAAATAAAAATTACAGAATTTACGTAAGAAAATAATGGTCACTGAGGTGTTACAAAATTTCTCCCCTTCCTCTTTTTTATAGCCTGAACAATTGCAAGTATGTTTTAGGGGAAATAAATGCTTCTGATTCTTTCTACACAAGGGAACTTTGGTTTTGCCATCTGGCAGAATTTAGGAAAAATTCATTGTCATCTGACATGTTTGACTTAATCTCAGCCAAGCTCTTGTGCTAGTGTGTCAAGAAGGTTCCAAAGCAGGGCATAAAACGTACACACTTGCTTTAGCATGTACTATCAGAGGCTGCAAAAAGCTTACAAAAAGAAGTAATGTTATAAAGTCCATGCTAATTTTTGTTAGGCGTCTTTTATTATTTGTTTGAACCAATATGATCAGAAAAAAATGGGGTTTTTTCAGTATATTTGCTGCAGTAAGATAGACTAAATTATTTATGCCTATGTCTTTATTGATTAAGTTTCCAAATTTACTTACTGACACAGTTAGGTTCCCCCATGGCACATCAGATGCAGATATATTGTAGTCCTGCCAGTATTGTAATGTTTTATTGCTAGGATGTTCTGGTTCCACACAATTGCATCTGAAAAGACAATTTTTTTTCTTTAATACTGAAAGATATATCAGATATTAATCCAAATTACCATCTTTATGATACATTGAAATTATGCTCTACTTTGACAGATAATTTTAGTTAAATGAGTTCAGTAAATGCATGCTTTGAAGCAGTTTGTAGTTCAGTAGCTAGTGCTATTACCAGAGTACATTTGCTGTGAGGTGCATTTTCATATATAGTACGTAACGTGACATATTCAAACCACTGATCACAACAGGATTTACCACCTATTTTCTTCCTTGTCTATTGATACTTCTGARCAGTTTGGAATACTGAGAGTGTGCCAGTTCCACCCTCTTACACCTAGCATTTCTCTATATGGACGTTAGGTGTATGTAGTTTCAGGCTGATCCATTCCTCAAATAACAAATTCTCTGTATCATCTTTCTTTCTCAGACAGAGAAGGGCCTTTGCATGCAAAACTGCCCAACTACCCAGTCAGCTGTCAGGCCTCTGAGTGTCAGGATCACCAGCAGCAAAGGCTCTGTGAACTCTGTGTTCCTCATTTTTCCTTTCTCCACAGCTGCAGTGAAAGCACGCTTTTCATTTTAAATTGTGTATTCCAACACGCAAAATGTGACGAAACAGTGTGGGAGGACAATACCGCAAATAGGTAATTTTAAATCAAAATTAAGTCTTTAAAGCCTCTGAAGCAACCGTGGGAGGCTTTTTCTTTGACAAAGCCTTCAAAATTTTCAGGATACTCCATAGGATCCAAAATGTCTCTGTAAGATCCAAGAAGTCCTCTTTGCAATGCTCTTTAAATTAATCCTACTTTAATAATCCATAGCACCATCTAGCCTGCTTGTATTTTAATGTGCTCATGATGACTTTAAATAAATTGTTTACTCTCTGATAAAGTTTTCAGGAGTAGCTGGGGAYAGGATAACATCTGACTATCACGTGCAGAATCACTGAGCACAAATTGCATTACAGCTGTAGCAGAATATCAGTTTATTCACTTACCTACACCCTCTATTTTCTATGTAGCTGTTTATCTTTCCACAAAACGACAATACTCATCTAGATCTGTATGATTTTCTATAAAAGAAATTCTACCATCTGCAACGTGAGGACACAACACTGATATTCTGTTTCAATTACAATACTATACATGTGACAACAGCTGCATTACACAGATAGAGATGCAGGTTGTCTTTGTGCAATTCCTTGCTTTTATTTTAAATGCAGCTATTTATGAAAGAAAGAGAAAACCCTTACAGCCCATGAACAAAAAGAAAAAAGAAAAAAAAAAAAAAAAAAANAAAAAAAAAAAAAAAAGCAACTGCATTCAGAGGAGTAGAGGGCCTGAGCCAAAAGTCCTTGGACCTTTCAAACATATTTAATATGCTTTGGATCAGGCCCTAAGTGCAGAATGAATGTGTGCTCAATGCAGAGTTCAAAGGATTACGAGATGGGTTAAATGAAGCATCACTACCAGTGAGCTACAGCAGCAGAACAAAGCCAACCGAGGGCAGGGCTATGCCAGCTACTGCCAGGGAGTATTTGATGTCCATGCAGCAATGCAGAGGTGCTKTGCCAGGTTACTGCTGTTCTCTGTGAGCACAGGAGCTCCTTGGCCCCTGGGGTCCCTCGCCGATCGCAGGCTGGCGATGCCCACTGGGGATTGATTACGGCAGCCACGGGGACACGGCTGCCACTCAGTCACCTCCTCACTAGAAGGGAAGGCTGTGCCTGTCGCCAGCACTACATGGTACAGCTACACTTGCTGCAAACTGCAAAATTACATTTAAAGGTTAGAGGAGCCAAAACTTCTATTTCCTCAGAAACGTGACAATTGAAGCTATAGTTTAATACAGCTCAAGGAATTCACCTTCGGATGAGATCTTCGGATGAGATCTGTTTATTTCTATAGCAATATCATTTTCCTCCTGTAAAGCATTCCAGTCTGGTCTTTACCRAGTTTCACAGGCTTCAAATAATGGCAGATTGATCATCAGAAAATAAGTGATTTGGGCAAATTCCACCCACACAGATCAAAATCACCCTGCTTTTGYTGCTGAATGGTGCAGAATCAGGCCCTAACTGTGGAGATCAGATCCTGATTTCTGCTCAGAAGACCATTCAAACGATGATCTCAGTGTTTTGATATATACATACTATTACATTGCTTTCAATATTGTATGTGTTTTGGCAACACTGACATTTTGATGTGAGATTCTATCATGGTATTACTGTCTTCCAGCATCACACTAATTGCTTAACATTTTAGAGCTGTGAGATAGTAAAACACTCSCTGTCCATCCAGAAAACACAAATGAAGGTACCATTCAGTGCCAAAACATAAAAARATTATCTACTAAAATGTGTCATTTCATAACAGATGTAATTGCTTCAATGATAAGTATTTCCCAACATAACTGACCTGCAAGGAGAATCTCACATTAATGAAATAATGCTTCCTACTTGAATCTTTTTAATATTTTAGTCTTTCACTGGCATTTTTACTTTGAGAAGTTTTGGGAGAAAAAATAAGATATGCAGAATAGTTAACACTAACACATCCTTCTATTTTCCTGATAAAATATCACTCAGAAGGCTGGAATAAGCAAACATGTATTTCCTCTTGGGGGTTCAAATGCTCTTTCTTGTAAAGTTTTGTAAAATTACTCTTGTAAAATTACTTTCTTGTAAAGTTGTTTGAAGTGCTGAGTGCTTGCCCACGACAAGAAATCTAAGTGGAGTTTATGCTACTAACAAATGAGTAGGAGACCATACAAACACCTATATTTTCTAAGCAAAATATTCAGCTTCAAATACAGTACCAACTTAGCAAAGTACTCTTGTATCTTTCAGTGATAAGTCAGCAATCATCTTCCTTACACTGAAAGATTCAGGATTCTTCTGATTCTCTTTCATCGTGGCTAGAATACAGGCAGGGAAGGATCTGACACTGGTTGTGGCAGCGAGACCATAGGTGTCACTGTGGGGGGAGGGAATATTTTCTGCCAATCTCAACACATCTGTTTCATCACACTGATGACAGAAATAATTCATTTTTCATTTTGTCACTGCAAGACATTCTGACCTCCTGGTAGCGATTCAGGTGTTTAAGCATGGGTGACTGCACACTCCACTGTATCGGTGACATCCATGAGGGGCTGGCACATATGAGAGGGCCCACGGTGACTCACACCTTTGTTTTCAAAGCAGCTGCAGGCTGAGAGATCTAAAATGGCACTAGATACCCAGTCACAGGACCCTACCTGTGCTTAAAATGCCTGTATGTTGCATCCAGGCAGATATCAATTCAAATTCAACTCAGTCTAGTCCCTCCAGTCCCTATATAGTCATTTTTCAGTTTGCTTCTTCACCATTTTTCACCTCTCATGCATGCTCTGCTCCCCACACAGGTTTTAAACATGCAGCATGGTGCCACTCCAGCTTCAAAAAAGAGCCTCAGACTGTTTTTGTGAGTAAATAAAACACATTCAARTGGTGCAGCTCCCTTTGAAAGCCCCAGGGCCACTCATCTGTAGGCAGTTGCCATTTTTCAGTAGACTCTTTTCRAGACTATGAGGCACTTACTACTGATGATTTTATACAATGCAAAAGGGACTGGTTTGGATCTCTTATTTTTCCAGGATTAACATATTGCAAGCTACTCCCATTTATTCTAGATAAGGGTCTGATCTATAAAAGATGCAACTGCAGCTTATTCCTGATTATTCAATACATCCTTTCCTCTTCCTAGAAGGGCAAAATGCCTTCCTGGCTCACTTAAGATAGCCTGAGAATGAGATTTGCTCAATATGAATATTTATAATATTTWAAAAACTACACGCAAAGTATGACAAATAAGTTGCAAAATGCGCTTGTTTAAACAATATGTCTCGTGGAATATCAGAGCACATATTTGGTGAGATGAGTAGGAAGGTTTTCCCCCAGCACGAGGATGCTCTGAGTGTGTCGTGCACTGATCACGCAACAGAGACAGAGGAAGATGACAGGATGAAAAGGAAGATAACATCACTAAGTTTGTTTTTAAAGTAAAGTATATTTATAGGTATTTTTTACATTGCATTTACAAGGCTGAAGTATATTAACAGCAGAATGTTATGCATGTTTAGGTTTTCTCCTAATATACCACTTTCATGTGAATTATGGTATTCACAGAATCTTTCTGTGTCTAACAACTGCAAGGGGAAGAAGACAACAAAAAGTATATAAATGATGTTTTCTCTGCTGCCTCATACCTATGACACCTATATATCCCTGGCTTTATATTGCCATATTCCTTCTCGTGCCAAAATTCATAACAACTAAATCAAAGTCTCAGTCRAGAAAAGACTGGAAACAAAATAATTAATAGTGATGGAAAATGGACTTGTCAGTTAAGTTCTATTCTCAGTATCATGAAACCCTTTCACAGCACAGCTGTCATGGCAAGACAAGATTTTTTTCTTCATTTATTTATGAGATCTGCCATCCTGAATTACGACCATTAAGTTATGTAGCTCATCTCTGACAGTCACGAACATCAGTAGGCATCAACATATATTCTCTAAGGTTGCAAGTCTGTAGAGTTGCTGAAGTTCAGGAGGAAAACAGAAAAGCCTGTTAAAGTACCTAAACAAATCACTCAGCAGCACAATAATTTCCAAGAGAGCAGCACTATGGTATGCAGCTGCCATACACAGACRTTCATGTGCAGAAAAGCAGTGCAACTCTGTGGGTTACTGACAATTCACCTGAAAGCTTCCACTGAGAAATATTTCTAGGATGTCATTTCACCCCGCTTCCACAGTTAAAAGAGCACACACTTGAGGARAAGAGTGTCAGTATAATACTGGTATAAAAATAATGATGGCCATACATTACAATTCTATATGGTCAGCTTAGGTTTCAATTGTTCAGATGGAGTGCATCAACACACATAAAGGTACTGTAACAAAACCACCCCAAAATTTTAGGTAAGCCTTCCTAGGTTTTGAGGGCATTGTGTA